TCCATTGCGTTATGTGCCCAGCGCTGTGATATATAGTTATATCACTTCTATATATGACTTCTGGTTACAGAAGTCATAATAGCATTAGTTTTCTCAGTCCTTCTGTTCTGCTGAAATAGATGTGGCTGACAAGATTTATTCTTTTCTTGTTCTTAGCCCTTTTTTTCCAGCATTCCCTCTTTGCCCAACAGCAACTTTTTCACTGTTTTCCTTTCTATTTTTCTTCTGATGTTCTTTTTTCGTTTATTTAACTTAGCCTCTACCTATCTTGACTAAGCTCATCTGTTTTATAAAAGACATTTTCTTCCCTTTTGTTCTGCTGCCCTGGCTTATACATTATAGTTGTTTGCCCAGCTCTGAACTGTCCGATTAGATGGTAAGCTCTTTGGAGCAGGCAGGCTTGGCTGCTGATTATATACTGCCTGAAGACCAGCTAGGGATGGCAACATGCTAGGTAACATTTAATACGGTTTGGATTACTAATATTTTCTGGGATTTCTTCAGACATTGTGTTTGTAAGGTGCATACAACCTGCTGGTATTACGTGCTGTAGAAGTGCAGAGTAGCTTATTTTAATTGACTTCAATGATTGCAGTATGAGTGTTTTAGGATACTGACAAAAATTGTGAAACTTGCTGCTTTGGTATTTTGGTCACATTTAGACTGATATTTTTTGTACATATTTTACTTTTTTTACATCCTGATGTAAATTATTGGCTGTCTTGCAGATTGTTTCAAGCCATGCATATTGATGGCGAGTTCTGGGAAGCTGAAGCTGAAGACTAGTAGCTTTCTCTAGCAACAAAAGCTGAACAAACCAGAGACAGATGCTTTCCATTTTTGTGTCGTTTGCTTTTCACTTCCTTTATGTGATAGAAGAATGATAACTGCCTTGCACTGCAGGATATTCACACTTCAGAGGCTGTTGCCAAAACCAAAGGAGACCATTTTACCCATCCTGGGGTCAGGATCACCATGGGAAGCCCTAATAATCATACCGATTGTTAAAGACAAATACAAAGAGTCAGAAGTTGGAAAATTACTGGGAAAATGTATACTAAGAGGTGCCCCTTTTTCAAAAGCTAGCAAGCAAAACTGAAGCCCCAAATCACAGAAATATTTGGGCATTTCCTTTAGGGAGACTGACCTTTTGAGGATCTTGGCTCATCATCCATTGTGGGTTTTAGGGGAGTTTTATTATAGCCATAGTGCTCTTTCTGGAGCGGTTTAGTGATGCTGCTTGGACAGGGAAAGTTTTCTGATACAATACAGAAAATTTCTTCTGTATTCAGCAACTGAGCTTGTTCCTTCTATAGCATTTCCTGACCCATTTCTCTGAAAAGAGCTCATTGCTCTGTCACTGATACTTTCTAATGATGTTGATCATCCCTGACCCGCTCCTGACATGGGTGTAATGCCCGGGTCGTTGCATTACTGAATGCTTTGGCAGAAAATGACCGACAACTGTTTCCAGAAATTTGATTCAGTCTGACGACTCATCTCAGTGTTGCTGTTACATTCACTCACATTACACTTCCTTATCTTGACAGTGGTGAGTGCTATGGCAGTGAACTGAGTCTGTGGCCAGTAAGAGGGTGAAAAATCTCAGTCAGATACTGAAACACATTTTTATGGATACATAGTTGAGATTAACTTGAATTCTTCAAGTCTTGTCTTCTCGGATAGTGAAGTAATTTATTTTTTACTAACTCTTCATATCAAATTTGATTAGTTGATAGTTTTGTTTCTGGACTAGATCCCTTATTTCCATTGTTCCTGCACTTCAAATTATTTCAACCCCCAAACTGTTTCCCCTAAAAGTTCAGTAAGTAGTTTTGTGAGCATGAAAGTAATTACTGGAGGGAACCACTAATTTTTTAGAAGTTTTTCAACTTGCAGAAGGGTCTGAAAATTTATTTTGAAATTAAAGCTGCATGTGCTGTGTTCAAAACAAATAGCAGGGTCTGGATGAATAGCTCAGAAGCTGGAATACTCTTCAGAAACTCAAGGTGAACACCTCTCACTCAGTTTTGACTGATAGTAAATAAATTTATACTCAGATATCTGGCCAAAATGAGTGCTGATTTAGTTCCGTTTGCAGAGGATGAAAGTTTGTACTATTAGAACTAGCAGTGATTAAAAAGATAAGAGATGGTAAGAGCAGATCTCTTCTCTTGGTTTAGGCTGTAGGA